AATAGTGGCTGGTGAGGTTGTTGAGGTGCATCTCAGTGTCTGGAGGCTATTAGGATTTGAATGGATGGGGCAGTCATAGGCACAATCCTAGAAAGACAGACTGATTTTGGATTCAGAAGCCATCCAGTTCTAGAGAGATGTTAATTTATTAGCTCAGGATGGGGTTGTACTTCTTCATATTGATCTCACTCACTCACTCACTCACTCATTCAGTCATTGAACAAAATTCAAAATAAATAAATAAATAAATAATAAAAAAAACAAAGGTGAAAGATACAACAGTGCTGAAAAAGGTGACAACCAGTCCTGGCACAGACAACCTCTGCAGCCTCACCACAACTGCGTGATCAATATTTGGGTGCGTGGCAACTGGCATGTGTTTGCAATAGTTGCAGCATATTTTTTTTTAATTGAAAAGTTTTATAAGAAATTCAAGCATTTTCTCCCCCACACCCTTTCCCCCTCCCCTCCTTCCCCCCCATCCCCTCCCTAGCATTTTGATCACATGATTGCCATTTACAATCTTGCCCACAGGCTTCCAGCAAAGTCATTGTGGGAAGCTGAATGCACTTAATGACCATGGTGATTCACTTAATGACTGTTGCAAAAAAAATGTAAATGTAAAAATGTAAATGTAAATGTAAAAAATGTAAAATGAAAAAAAGGGTTTTTTTCTTTTAAAAGCCTTTGATGATCCCAGCTGAGCCGCGCGATCATCAGAGGCTTTTTTTTTTACTTTTAAAAGCATTTTTTCGGCCGAAGAGGTTGTAGAAAAAATGCTTTTAAAAGTAAAAAAAAAAAAACCTCTGATGATTGTGCAGCTCAGCTGGGAATTAGGGAGGGGCAGGGATTTTTGCTACCGGTTCTCTGAGCCACCCGCCTCCATCGCTACCGGATCGGGTGATCCGGTCCGAATCGGGAGCATTTCACCCCTGGGCTGCCTCTGAACCCTCTCTAGCTCCTGCCAGGGATGTTAAAGGAACTCCCAACTGGGCATCCCCTGGGCAATGATGTTGTCACTGGCTAATCCTTTCAACCCAGAAGTGCCTTGTTGCTTCTGATATGAATGCAAAATCATTCTTAAAGCTCCTCATGGCTCAGAATTTGGGTGTCTTCAGTACTGCCTATTTCCAAATGTAACTGTCCATTCAATAAGGATGGATTGTGTTTATTTTTCTCAAGAAGTGTCATGAGCAGGAAATACAGAAGCACCCTTCTCAATGGCCATCTCCCATTCCTTCAGAGCTTCTAATGGCCCAAATCCTACTGAAATTTAAGAAAGACACAAAACCTGTCTCCATCAGTCTATGAAAGTTGAGTTTTATAATTCTGTTCTTCTTGAAGTGTCTGTTTGTTTAACATGGGTTATCTTCCTTGGTATATAAGTATAGTGTTGGTGTTATTGTATTCTATATCATTAGGCTTCTAAAAAATATATCATAATCACTCATATTGTTTTAACTTGATTTACAGATGTATGTTATTCAGAGTTGACAACAATTAATATGGCATAGAAGCATCAGTAAAATATGTTGATAATTAATATATTTACATCAACATTTCTCAGCTGAGAATGAGTGGCATAGGAGGCTAATGCCTCCTACTAAGGCAGCATTTAACATCCAGCTGCCTGCAATTACTGCGAGTTCAATTCTCACCAGGTTCAAGGTCAACTTAGCCTTCCATCCTTTCTAAGGTGGGTAAAATGAGGACCCGGTTTGTGGGGGCAATAAGCTGACTTTGTATAAAATATACAAAAGATGAAGGCTATTGCTTAACGCATTGTAAACCGCCCTGAGTCTCCGGAGAAGGGCGGCATATAAAAATAAAAAATAAAAATAAAATAAATAAAAGCTAATACTCTCCAGAAGTTTTAAGTGTATAGTTTTTGTTGCTTTATTTTATTTTAAATTCATTGAAGCAAAAATGGGAAAAAAACAAATTTGTACTGGAAAAAAATAGAAACCTAATACAATTAAAACAGATAGAACTATGCATATCTCATAAAGACCAGCCATCATAAACAATGTTATCTTATTAGAAAAATATTAAAGTGATAAAAGAGTGATTATTTTCAAATACAACTTGATTATGACCTAAGTGAAGATTAACATAAAACAGATGAATGTTCATTTTTCCCAGTTCATAAACTTTCTTGTTAGTGACTAAATAGGAAATTATTTGCAAAGAATTTCATAACATTCCTTTCATGGAATGAAAATGTACTTTGATGCAGCCCAAAGTGCTATTTCTCTCTAAGGATATGACTGCTCATATTGTCAATCTTTCTTTGCTAATTGCTGTTTCCTCATTGTTGGTAAAATTCTGAAAAGCTGAAACAATCAACGCATGTCCAATACAATCAAGAAAGATGGACTGAAATATATGGAACCCGTTACCTGCATTTACATCCTTTTCACAATATTAAATGAGCATGTCTTGGTATAATGCTTTTTAATAATTTAGGAAAGAATTTTAAAAAACCCCTAATGATTATAATATGCACTGCCAATCTATGGACCAAGGTTATATAACAGCTTATACAAAACCAAGGAAACCACAGAATGTCTCAGGCTGTTGCCTGAATGCAGTCAAATATGATTTATTCAACAAGCCTTTGCTAAATAAATTATAATTTAGTACAATGCGTAAGCCTTGTCATACGGACATTTGTCTTAACCTAGCTATTCTAATAAGGACATATTTAATAAGAGTACTGAAGTGTTCATACCTCTACTAATGTGGGGATACATCATTTAGCTCACACTCGCTCTAGCAGAAGCAATAGCACCCTTAGCTGAACATCAGTTTTCTATGATGGAACCATTTTCAAGACTGCATTTTATTCACACATAATAATTCAAGCACTTTTCTGTCTATTAAACTAAATCACTGCAGTATGTTTTGAAATTTATGGGCATCCAGTTGCTTAATCTAAGTTACAGTTTTTAGGATACGTAAGTCTACAAGCAGGCTTTTGGTCCGAACACAATCTATAGGCCTTTTCATATATTAAAATTTTACATGCAGGAACCATGACAAGTCACACATTTTTTTAAAAAAACATGTCCGTATTTTTTAGTTTATAGTTTTAGCTTCGCTTTGAAGTGTTGGCAAATAAAATTCCACTAAAACTACACTCATTCAGTATTTTAAGGTTTTATGCTTTTTAAATAACCACAGATGAAGCCAGTAATATTTCCCGTTATGTTTTATTGCAATATTAATAACTATTTGGCTGGAGAAAGTCTAGTAGTCATAACAGAAACTTTATTAAACTGAGCTCATGATATACTTTTTTCATCTAATGTACCAAATCAAAATACAATTATATATTTTCAACAGGAGTAAAAAAGGAAATGTGCAAATAAAATCTAGTTTAAAACTGTATCCTAACTTTCAATTTTTCAATATAAAAATGTGTTAACCTAAGGAACTGCCATTCGTCTTATGACATATTATATCAAATTTTCCACAAGACATTAAGTTTGCAATGATTGTATATTTCTTCTTAATGCTGATTTAAGCAATTCTTTGAGACTCAATTTTGCCAAATGGAATCAAGCTCATATTCGCCACAGGCCAGGCTGAGTCTTTTGGCATTTGGCTACAACTGTACATTCATACTTAAGAGCAATTGAATAGTAGGTAGCAGCAGTCCTGCACAGGTAAGTTGGGTTGCTTTTGTCATCATGGGCTAATTCAGCATTTACTGAAAAAAAAAACTACAGAAGTCAAGATACAACTGGTTGTGAAAATAAGCTTTAGTGATGGACAGATCTTATGAATCACTGCAAGCATTTCAATATCAGCAGGTAAGTATAAGCTCCCTTGTTCCTCATATTTAAGTGCTGCTCAAGTTGAGTTGCTTTTATTTTTACCATAATGTAGGGTCTGTATTCTCTATCCTATGAGCAAAATTCTGTCCAGTGGTGGGTTTCAAAAATTTTTACTACCAGTTCTGTGGGCATGGCTTGGTGGGTGTGGTGTGGCTTGGTAGGCATGGCTTGGTGGGCGTGGCAGGGGAAGGATACTGTAAAATCTCCATTCCCACCCCACTCCAGGGGAAGGTTACTGCAAAATCCCCATTTCCTCCCGATCAGCTGGGATTCAGGAAGCAGAGAATAGATTGGGACGGGGCCAGTCAGAATTTTTACTACCGGTTTTCTGAACTACTTAAAAATTTCCGCTACCGGTTCTCCAGAACTGGTCAGAACCTGCTGAAACCCACCTCTGATTCTGTCCCATCTCTTTCCAGCTCCACCTAAATTATTGCAGTCATCTCCTCTTTGATTGTCCCATCATGTCCATCCAGCATTTTTTGGCCAACCAGGGTCTATTCTATTATGAGCTTGCACCTAATACTTCCTAAATACAGTAAAAAAAATCATATATCTTGACTTTTTATAGCTTCCTTTTTTCCCCCCCCCCCCATCTCTAAAGTTCTGTCTGGTATATATTTACTTATCCTCTTCAATTCAAATGCTTCCTTACACCCTCACTTTTATGTTCAGAAGACAGTATAAAAGTGCACCCCAGAATTCAAGGCTACTTCTCTTAATGTGATGAAGTCTTTCCTTGTGACTCTTTTTTATTGCATAGCTATTAGACTGCCATAGTTCTTGTGCCTTATTACTATACTACACATTGCTACCCTGTTTAACTCTGCCATTTCTTTCATCATCTTCTGTTCCTGTGTCTTCATCAAATTTTAGATTAGGGCTAAAGCCCATCCTCTGGTGCTTTGTAAAGTACTATATATTCTCATAAGAAAATAAGCAAACATTGAATAGCTATGCTTTTAACAGAACACAGTGCATCTCTTTTCATATAATTCTAACAAGCCAAATTTGAATCTTGCCTAAGTTTCATTTTTTGAAGAATGAAATATACTTCATCACCCACCACATTTAAACACACCTGCATTATGTTGCTATCTCTTAATTAAAGAATTGGTTTAATTAAACCAATTAAACCAAGTGTAATTAAATAACACTTACAGTCGTTCTAGTTGCTTTAGATCTTGAAATGCTCCACGTTCTATCATGCTAATTAGATTCTCTTCCAAATGCCTATAAGAGAAAATTTCAGTAGCATTAAAAGAATAACCAAACTTTGGAATTGGAAATATAAAACATTTTCCCTTCCTAAAAGTCAATCTATCACCTCCTCTACAGAATGCAGAGAAAGGCAATGTCTTTTCAGGATTTAGTTTTTCTTCTATATCACTCACTATTCTTTCTCTCATAACACTGTATGACATAATTAGACTGAAGGTTATTAAATAGGAGCAGTGGTGAAATCCAGCTGGATCTATCCAGCTCGCGCAAACCGGTAGTGCCAGCGGTAGGAGGCCTTGCCCACCCACTGGGACATCATTACCCACTGAGCATGTGCAGAAGAGGGACGCACATGCTCCCATTCCCAAACCAGTAGCGAAGATAAGTGGATTTCACTGCTGAATAGAAGGCTTCCATATACTGTATAACATCTTACTTGGAAGTAATTCTGCCATTCAAACTGAAATTTACTTATGAGTAGCATATATAGCTTTGTACTGCAGAGCAATAATTATTTAGTTTGGACATCCATATGTGGCCTCCAAAAATTCAGAGAGCCACCTATTTTAGCAATCATCCAGTTTTTTGCAATCTACATAATAATTTATCTGAATCTGCTACTTTAAAACAATTAAACAATTTAAAACAGGACTTCAAACACTTTATTTCAATATGGAAACTATCTTAACAAAAACATGATTATATTTTATTTATACAGTACATCATATTTAGAAACAACCCAGCTCCCTCATAGAGTGTCCCTGGGTGATGTACAAATAAATTATATTAAAAAAAAAAACCAGTTAAAAACAAGAATAAAATAATTAAAATTAAAAAGTCAGGGGAAGGGCTTCAAGGCTGCCTGCTTTTCTATGGATCCCAACCAAATTGTCATAGAGAGGTCTTGAAGCATTTATTTAGGCCAGAGAGTGGACCCCACCGTTCTCTGGGGGGAGAATGTTCCAAAGGATGGGAGCAATAGCAGAATAGTCTCTCTTCCTTGACTCTGCCAGTTAAAATTCTTCAACTGATGGGATTTGCAAAATACATTCCCTGCCTGACTGAGTGGGATGGGTGAATGTGTAATTTTTTTTTTATTTTTTTTTTTTGTAGTGGGTGAAATGAAAATTTGGTGGGTGAAGATGAAAATTAATATATATTATATTATTATGCAGTGTATACATTTAAAAGGAAATTTATATTTTATATAAATTTTTGATATAAAATATAAAATTCCTTTTAAATATATTCAGGCAATTCATCAAGAAATGACTATAAAAATAATTCACAGACAACCCCCTTTCAGAGGCCATTATATGAATTAATGTCTTTCTAGACTGTTGGACACATTGTAATAAAATTGTTACAAATTACCATCTCTGGTGGCAATGTACATTTAATTACTCATTTTGATTGAAAAGTGTTTCAGGAAACTGGGAAGGCTACACAGCATTTTGAAAATTAATTGTGGTGTAGCCTTAGTCAATTTTTCCAGAACATATAAAATCATGCACGTAAGACGTTCATTTCATTTCTCTTGTTAGTTGCCTGATGTACTATAACAAAATAGCGGAAAACTAAAGTGTAGCTTTCCTTGGTTCAGTAGCTTTTAAAAATGCGGAAAATAACAATGCCTGGAAAATTAACAAAGCGGGAAAGCATCTTGAAAAATCCTTTCATTAAAGGCTGTATTATTCAAATTTTATTTCTATGTTTATCTCTATAAACAAAATTATTTTAATAAATTATTACATAAATAAATTTTAATCAATTATTTCCATTTTTACAAATAGCTTTTTAGAAAGAAATATTGAATAGGGAGATTTAATATTATGTACCTCTCCTTAGGTGAACCAATATATGTGTATATGCTCCCAAGTGATGTGTATGTGAGAATAGCTTTTTCACGCATACAAATTATTCCTTATTGCCTGTCTGACTTTACACCTGAATTTCCAGACACCTAACTCTTAATTTTATTCTTAAATAGACTTGGCAGAAGATTCCCAGACATGCCTCAGCTAGATTAGAATCTTTAATACCGACAGAATGAAGACATAACACAACAGTTGATTGCTTACTATAACACAAATATTCTAAGCTTTTATATAGTGTTCCAACATTCATATTCTGAAGTTGCTTTGTTCTGCTTTTCTGAGTTAACAAATACTTGGTAATTCACTTGATGGTCTAGGGCATCTGAAACACATTTGCACAATGGTCCTAGAATTTCTATTTCCTGATTTAGCAAGTTCTAGTCTCTACACTGCTATGTTTGCTTAATCTGACATTCTAAGCATATTTCTTTAATGCCCAAGCCAATCAACTGATCCAATAAAGCTTATATTAAATAAACTTACTCTGGGTTAAAGTGTTTCTACATTTCCTTAGTGAACCTAGTGAAGCCACCCAGAGTTGTATCAGTGAGATGGGAGACGTTAAAGTTTAATGACTAAATAAACCTTTATCAGTGTGCCAAAACACTAATACACAGTCACTCCTGCCTTGACGTTACTTTTGTATATTGACAGCAGATGCTTTTCCTTTCCACGGAGTCTTGTTATAAATTGTTACTTATTGTAATGTTAAAAGTGATGACCAGACATTTGTAATGTCATGAAAGATTCTGTCAGCCCTCCCAGAAAACACAACTAGATGAACTAATTCTTCTTTATTTTAAGGCTACATTAACAGAATCTTGCAAGGTTGAATGTATAAACTTCCCATTGCCACTTTTAATCATTTGATCCATTAAGGTGGGCACTTCCTAAGTTTTTTTCTCTGATGAGTAAGCCACTGGGAACTCCTCCCCCTCTTGCCTGATTGTCTCCTAGGCAGCATCTCCTCCCCTCCTTCCCTAAGGTCCTCCACACTTTCCATTACACCTATGGCTTTTTTTCAAAGACAATGATAGTGAGATTAAACGAATCTCTTTCTCTCAACATATCTAGGCAAGATTATGGAAATATATCTGACCTGATACAAAAATTAACAGGTTTGATGCCACCCACCAGTGCAGGAAAACTCTGAACTGGATTTGCACCTTGCATGGCATCTTATACAGTAACAGAGTTGGAAGGGACCCTGGAGGTCATCTAGTCCAACCCCCTGCTCATGCAGGAGACCTGTACTAAGGCTTCGAACCGCCGAACTGACAACGTTTCTGATCAACCTGTGGGCAATGGGCAGAGTATCCCATTGAGCCAGAGTGGTGCTGCTCATCAAACCCTGGATCATATAGCAATAGCAGTAGCACTTAGACTTATATACCGCTTTACAGTGCTTTACCATGCTTTACAGCTCTAAGTGGTTTACAGAGTCAGCATATTTTCCCCAACAATCTGGCTCCTCATTTTACCCACCTCTGAAGGATGGAAAGCTGAGTCAACTTAGAACCTGATGAGATTTTGAACTACCAAATTGCAGGCAGCTGGCATATGATGACCAGCTGTCTTTGAAAGGTTATACAGGAAGAAAAGCAGATTTGCTCCAACTAACAAATACTGCACTTATTTGGATAAATGGCTATTTGGATAAATTCTCATAAACCAACATATTTTGAAATGCAACCTATAACTTATAACTTCTTAAATTCCTCATACCTTACAAAACTGACGACATATTTCCATCATACATATACCATAGAATTGTGTATTCCTTTTATGTATTTTACTACTGTTATCCATGCACTCTATTCCATACACTAAATATAGGTAGTCCTTGACTTACAACCACAACTGAGCCCAAAATTGATGTTGCTAAGTGAGACAGTTGTTAAGTAAATTTGGTCCCATTTTACAACCTTTCTTGCCACAGTTGTTAAGTGAGTCACTGCAATTGTTAAGTTACCAACATGATTGTTAAGTGAATCTGGCTTCCCCATTGGACTTTGCTTGACAGAAGGTCGCAAAAGGTAATCACATGACCCCAGAAGACACTGCAACTGTCATAAATAGGACTCAGTTGTCAAGCGTCCGAATTTTGATCACATGACCATGGGGATGCTGCGATGGTTACAAGTGTGAAAAACGGTCATGTCCCTTTTTTCAGTGCCGTTGTAATTTCGAATGGACAACACTAAATGAACTGTTGTAAGTCAAGGACTACCTATAAATATAGAAAACTCAAGAGGTATTTATCAAAATCAGGTGAAATTATGGCCAGTGTCTGAATGCACCAGTATAAAATAGGTATAATCAAAGGTGGGATTAAAGGTGGGATTACCTCCCCTACCAGTTTGCAAATGTAAGCACATATGCTCCTCTGTGCATGTGCACAGCCTTCCGCGCATGCTCTTTGCTCGCGCATTACATCCAGGCGGGTGGGCAGAGCTTCCCTCAGTCGCTACTACCGGTTTGCCCAAACCGGACAAACCTGGCTGAATCCTACCTATCCTATCCAATGCTGTATAGTTGGCTATGTGCTCAAGGCAAACAGATCAAAGTTTTGCAAAGTGACAACATAGAGAAATCACTTTAGGGGAATATTTCTCTTCATACTTACAGAACACGAAGATTCTTAAGTCCAGCAAAGTCCACCTTTGTAATCCTTGTAATATTGTTTCTGTCTAAGTCACTGCAAAAGAAAAAAAAAAATCACAATTGATACATGTATCTACCAGGCAGTTCAATCATTTAAAAAAATATCATAGAAGTACAGCACAGCAGATACCCATTCTGCACAGGAAATGCGAGACAGGACTGAAGATACTTGAGTAACATTGCAATTTACAGTAAGAGATCTTCTGGATAATTACTGAATGTTTCTTTTTGCAACTTCTTTTTGTGAAAGATGTAGAGCCGAAATAAGACAAGGATTAAAATCTGATCACGAACTCCCTATTGTCCATTCTACCATGAAGATGTTTAAGGTAGAAGATGAGAGAAATTGTGCTTTTCATGGAGATGGTTAGACTTTTCTTATTAGTGGGAGAATCTGGAAAACATGCATGTGCATATGGACCCTCAAATAATAGCCTTCTGCTAGCTTTTCAGACCCAAGATTTAAACCTCCACATTTCAAATATGTAAAAAAGAAAGCTGAAAAATCATCAGGATAAAGAGTTCAAAATAGCCTGTTTCCCCCAAAATAAGACATTCCCTGATAATAAGCCCAATCGGACTTTTGAGTGTATGGCAATAAGGTCAAGCATTTATTTTAGGATTCAAAAAAATATAAGACAGGCTCTTATTTTCAGGGAAACACGGTACTGAACATAACCAGCTGACTAAAACACACTCTCCATTGAATCTAACAGTTTCTATTATATATATTTTGCAACTGATTGCTAATCACCTGCCACATACGTTTCTTGCTTTTACCTTTATATTTCTGGAGACATTTACTTAGAAATAAAGTTATGCAAGCCAATGTATATAAGCATTATTTTATTTGCACACAGCAACATTATTTGCATTTTTAAGAATCCTGGAGGATTTTTTTCCCCTGCATACTTTTCAAATTTGAAGCAAGTAAAGTATCTGTGTAATATGGTATAAGTAGCTTTTGCTAACAAATACTGTATCCATATAAACCTTTAACACTAATACTGCAAAGTCATATAAATCCTCTTATGAAATAATACTCCTAATGTTCCCACAATTAGAAAGAAGAAAAAAATGTCAACCCTTGGGTGTTTTCCCAGATATATATAAGTCCAATTAAATTCATTGATGTTTATTCTAGGATTCTGGTCTTAATATACAAGATAATAAGCCGCCCTGAGTCTTCGGAGAAAGGCGGCATATAAATTGAACTAATTGAATTGAATAATATCTGCAAACCTTCTATCCTAATTGGTAGAATATATCTGACTGATCAAATACAGAACTTGACGATTTTGTATTCCAGGCCCTTTTACTTAATTTTAACTAATTGCTTTTTAAAATCATGATGGGATGGATTTTTTCCTAGAAATCACAGGATTTTTTTTAGTACAGTCTATGAGAGAAGGAGTTAGAACTTAGTGACAGAAGTCAGTAGCAGTCCCACAGTGTTTCCATAACATCCATCCCATAACTTAAACCATCTTTTCCTCAGCATATTATTCCCATTCATTTTATTTTTTTTTTATGTGGGAGGATGTGAGAGACGGATACCCATCAAGTATAACAAAAATAATGTGAAAGCAGATGGGAACACAAACCACTAACTAAACTCGAAACTCTGAAATAGAAATTTAAGATAGTAAAAAAAAAAGAAATAAACAAACCAATATATATGATTTCTCTTTATTCCCTATTTCAACAGGAATTGGCTTTGAGGAGCCTGGTTCTTCATGCCTAAGTTTGACATTAGACAAGCCAATATGTGAAAAGCCAATCATTAAGCCTCCCATAGGAAGTTTAATGATGGAAAGTATATTTTTTCATATTTTATCTTGTTTATCATATTTCATATGGCTAAATCAAAAACATGGTGTAAGTTTTCGAAAGACTTCAATTAGCCTTGTCCACTCTTCTTTTACATTTCGAGAAAAAAAGAAAACCTTTCATGTATTGTTAGAGCTTCAATGATCCAATTACAGTTGAGGAACATTATTTAATCAGTCTTGCCACGTATGAGCAAAGAGCTAAATTGACTTTGGTGGTGAATTAATACACTACCACCAGGATCTCGTAAGAAAAACACAAAAAAACTATGGAACAGAATTTTCACAACCTCTGACTAGAAATCACTGTCTTCTTCCATAAGCATTCTTCTTTATCTTCTTCAAATCCATCAAATTGAACCTCAGACCCTCAAACCCTCTGCTATGTCATTACTTCCTTGGATGGATGGAAATTATGGATGGATGGATTTAAAATCCATTTGCCACCCCCAAGGCTGTTTTTCCTTCTAACACAGAGCTTATTTTTTAAACTAAACTATTTCCCTTAGAATTTCTTACAAATCTAGGAATCTGTCTGAGGAACACCTTCCTCCCCCCCCCTCCCCCATTCTTCACTGCCAAATCTTGAGTCCCAGGTTACATATGGATGAAAGAAAAATTTTAAAAGCTCCAAAGTAATCTGAAATAAAAGCGATGGAGAGGATAGCAATTGGAATGGATTAGGATCCGTTCCCTTTAGTTCACTCATTTGGATAACACTGAAAAAAGGAGACAACTCATTCATAGGAAAAAATGAAGCCACATGAAGAGCACAGCTTGATATGGTCCTGAGTTTCAAAAATGTCCTCATTTTCTGTTACAAGCTTGATGTTTCTAGCATCTGCATTTAAAGGCTTGTTATCTTGGCTAGCTTTAGCTTGAATACAAAATGTATTTTGTCTCTCTTATGTACACTGGCACCCTCTCTTCAATAAGGGCCCCCTAGATCCTTAAGGCCTCAGATATTTGATCAGCTTTTCCAGAAAAAAATAGTCTTTTCACCTCTCCAAACTAATAACGCTTCTCTGGGACTTGGTGTACACCATCTGCATTTGGTTTCCTGACATTCCAAGACTGGATGAAGGACTTTTGAAAGACACATATGAAAATAATCACAAGAATACCAGTGAACACACAATTCTTTTACTATGTATTTGTTATTGGTTTTAATATTTGTAGAGAGTTGTATCCCTTCATTTCCAAAAGGACTATGAGCAATTATGTATGGCACCCTGGTTGTTCCCTCTCCTGACCCAATTACCTTTCATAGTGGATTTGAATAATATGATTTGAATGTTTCCATTGATTTACAACAATCTAGAGGCTCTGTTTGGTCAGATTAATGCTTTACTTGACAAAAAAAAAATAGACCTCATACATCAACTGACATTATATGTCACCTGATAATCATTGTTCCAGCCTGATCAAAGGATCTGTCCAACAGGCCATCATGGGACTAGAAAATGCTGAACAGTGCCCTCTGCTGGTTGGTCTGTTCAAAAACACATTTTAAGTGTTAAAAACTACTTGAGTTCATGAACCTGAAATAATCAACCTGAGAGTACATGATTTGAGTCAGTTGCAAAATGCAATAGTACATTTTGATTCTGCTTTTGATAAATTACTGGATTTACAAGATGAACTAGATTTTTTATGAAAACAGTTGGTGTTGTAGGAAGTTGGTGTTTGCAGAACTGGATATTACCAAACAGGACAGGACAGGACAGGACAGAGTTGAAAGGGACCTTAGAGGTCTTCTAGTCCAGCCCCCTGCTCAAGCAGAACTATTACTATTTTAGATAAAAGGCTGTCTAGTCTCTTCTTAAAAACCTCCAGTGATGGAGCACCCACGATTTCTGAAGGCAAGCTGTTCCACTGGTTAATTGTTCTCGCTGTTGGAAAGTTTCTCCTTAATTCCAGGGTGCTTCTCTCTTTGGTTAGTTTCCAACCATTGTTTCTTGTCCTTCCCTCAATTGTTTAATGACAAAATTAAACTGAACTGACAGTTTCATTGACAGGTGCAATGCATTATGTCACAATGTTGACAACTCTTTCGAAAAGTGATACCAAAACAGAATATAGAACTTGGTTTAAACTATAAAGAAAAGAGTTTCTTCTTGGAAAAATCAATTGTATCCCAAGACAATGATTTATGTATTTATTCATTCAGTTTATCATTTTTGGACCTGATCCTATAGTGTCTTGATAGATGGCATGATCAGCATTTCCAAATGTCAAAAGTTTGCAAATCGTGATTCTCTGACAGTAATTATGCAAGATCAAGCAACAAGAGATCATTGACTTCTTACGGCTATGTTTGTGAGGAATCTGATCAACCCTATTGGGAAAATTTAACTAAATCGGTATTGTTGATGAAAGAATTACATAACATTAGTTACAGACACCAGGACTAATGGGAGGAGGAAGAGGAGGAAGATGATGGTAAGGGAACAGGCACCTGTTTTCTAGGTGCTCCACACTGGAACTTTAAAGAAGAGATTGGACAACCATTTGTCTGACATGATAAAGGGTCTCCTGCTTGAGCAGGGGGGTTGAACTAGAAGACCTCAAAGGTCCCTTCCAACTTTTTACTCTATTCTGTGCTGGTTTAATTGTGAAGGAGAATAAGCAGAATAAAATTGTGAAGACATTGCAGAAAGTTAAAATTATTTTAATGGTTAATAGTGAATTAACCAGGAGCCTTGGTGGCACAGTGGACTAAGTGCTGTTAAAGTAGTACTTAGCTGCTAGCTGCCTACAATTACTGCAAGTTCAAATCTCACCAGGCTCAAGGTTGACTCAGCCTTCCATCCTTCTGAGGTAGGTAAAATGAAGACCCAGATTGTGGGGGCAATAAACTGACTTTGTATAAAAAAGAACACCGCTGGGGGGGGGGGCGAAAGCCCTACTAAGCAGGTATATACAAAAATATGAAGGCTATTGCTTAACGCATTGTAAGACACCCTAAGTCTCTGGAAAAAGGGCGGCATATAAATCGAACTAATAAATAAATAAATAAATAAATAAATAAACAAACAAACAAACAAACAAACAAACAAATTAGAAACCAGAAGTTTGTATTGGTTACATTTCTTATCAAAAGGACAAAACAAAAGAAACTGTCTATCCAAATAGAAGTTTAAAATCAGAGTATGTATGTCCCAAAGATGCAACTGGACTTTCTTTGTTTTTTCTTGAAGACGTT